AAAGAGTCCTCTCCTGCTGATGTTCAGGTGTCATATCAGTATGTAGTGTCTCTACTTTAAAGAGTCCTCTCCTGGCTGATGTTTCAGGTGTATATCAGTATGTAGTGTCTCTACTTTAAAGAGTCCTCTCCTGCTGATGTTCAGGTGTATATCAGTATGTAGTGTCTCTACTTTAAAAAGTCCCTCTCCTGCTGATGTTCAGGTGTATATCAGTATGTAGTGTCTCTACTTTAAAGAGTCCTCTCCTGCTGATGTTCAGGTGTATATCAGTATAGTGTCTCTACTTTAAAGAGTCCTCTCCTGCTGATGTTCAGGTGTATATCAGTATGTAGTGTCTCTACTTTAAAGAGTCATCTCCTGCTGATGTTCAGGTGTATATCAGTATATAGTGTCTCTACTTTAAAGAGTCCTCTCCTGCTGATGTTCAGGTGTATATCAGTATGTAGTGTCTCTACTTTAAAGAGTCCTCTCTTGCTGATGTTCAGGTGTATATCAGTATGTAGTGTCTCTACTTTAAAGAGTCCACTCCTGCCGATGTTCAGGTGTATATCAGTATGTAGTGTCTCTACTTTAAAGAGACCTCTCCTGCTGATGTTCAGGTGTATATCAGTATGTAGTGTCTCTACTTTAAAGAGTCCTCTCCTGCTGATGTTCAGGTGTATATCAGTATGTAGTGTCTCTACTTTAAAGAGTCCTCTCCTGCTGATGTTCAGTGTATATCAGTATGTAGTGTCTCTACTTTAAAGAGTCCTCTCCTGCTGATGTTCAGGTGTATATCAGTATGTAGTGTCTCTACTTTAAAGAGTCCTCTCCTGCTGATGTTCAGGTGTATATCAGTATGTAGTGTCTCTACTTTAAAAGAGTCCTCTCCTGCTGATGTTCAGGTGTATACTCAGTATGTAGTGTCTCTACTTTAAAGGAGTGCTCTCCTGCTGATGTTCAGGTGTATATCAGTATGTAGTGTCTCTACTTTAAAGAGTCCTCTCTGCTGATGTTCAGGTGTATATCAGTATGTAGTGTCTCTACTTTAAAGAGTCCTCTCCTGCTGATGTTCAGTGTATATCAGTATGTAGTGTCTCTACTTTAAAGAGTCCTCTCCTGCTGATGTTCAGGTGTATATCAGTATGTAGTGTCTCTACTTTAAAGAGTCCTCTCCTGCTGATGTTCAGGTGTATATCAGTATGTAGTGTCTCTACTTTAAAGAGTCCTCTCCTGCTGATGTTCAGCCTGTGCTGCAGCACCTCTTTTCACCCTCTGTCTGAAACCAGAGCGCAGTCTGCTCTGATTGGTCAGCTGGTCAGGATGCTTTTATCTTACAAAGCAAAACAAGCAGCGTACAAATAACCCATGAGACGTTTTTTATTGACGAAATCTGATGCAAATTGGATTTCGTACTGAGAACCGTCGGGCTGGATTTCCTCACAGAAATGCAAAATACCTGCAAAGTCACAAAACTTCTGCCACACAGGAGCAGTCAGTCAGAGAAGGAGCTCCAAATACCTGGAAGAGGAGATCAGGGAAAGATATTCAAGATGGAGGAAACCAGGATTAAAAAACAGTGCTTCCTAACAGCAGAGGTAACAGACCAATGTTAATGCAACAATGGTGAAATGCTGTTATCAGCTTCTCTAATACGGAGATTTGCTTATATTTTCTCTGTTTTATATCAAATCAAAGTGAATATCCGTGGGTTTAGACGAACGAGACATTTAAATAATAATAATGCATTTTATTTATATAGCGCTTTTCAAAACTCAAAGACGCTTCACAGTATGCGGGAGGGTAGACCAACAAGGACAGGCAAACAAGTAAGTAAAAAATAAAAAGGCAGTCAAGAGGAAGTTGATTGAGAGGGGGGGGGGGCTTATGGGTAGACAGAGTTGAAAAGATGTGTTTTGAGGCGGGACTGAAAGACTGTGAGGGACTCAGAGTCACGGAGATCTTGGGGGAGGGAAGTCCAGAGCCTAGGAGCTGCCACTGAGAAGGCTCTGTCTCTGTCCCCAAAGCTGCAGAGTGTGGATGTGGGAGTGGATAGGAGTCCGGCTGCGGTGGATCTGAGGGGCCGTGGGGGTTGATAAGGAGTGAGAAGGTTTGTGAGATAAGGGGGGGCCAGATGGTGGAGTGCTTTGTAGGTGAGGACCAGCATTTTGTAGTTGATGCGATGGGAGACAGGAAGCCAGTGGAGGTCTTTGAGGACTGGGGTGATGTGATGCCATGATTTGGTCTGCGTGAGGAGACGTGCAGCTGCATTTAAAGACATCACCTTTGATTTTGAGAAGCTATGATGGATATCTTTGACTATTTTTAGACCAGACAATCGATAAGCTACCACACCCTTTAGTGAGCTGTGTTACAGTTCAAATGAATTGACCCTGAGTGTGATCTGGCGTTGTGACGTGGTTAACTTCCAGAGAAGATGCTCACGAGACCACAAAGAAAGTGTTAAAGTCATTTGGACGGGTAAATGTGGAAGCCAATTAAAAAAAATGCAGATTGAGGAAGAGTTTGTTTTAAAGAACAAGAGCGTTTTGTTTGAGAGGCGTAAACACACGAGGACAGACGATGTTAGAGCAGCAGAGAGAGTTTGGCGCTGAGCGTCCTGCAGACTCTGCAGACAGATGGTGGATCTGACGGAGATTACACCAGGCTGGTGCTTCGGCCTTTTTGTTTCGGCTCCGTGTGTTTTATTTTGCATTTTAAACACATTACACTATGCTGTGTTCCTGCTTCCTCTGGCGTGTATCTCATCGTACATCCTCAACAGATTTCCTCCTATTTCCAGGGTCTAAACTTTAGGAAATACAGTGTTTGCTCACATTCTTCAGACTGTCAGTGTTCACAACTAATGTCTGGTTTAATGTGCTTATAAAGCAGACATTTTGAAGTGATAATACACACACACTCTTACACACACATACCATGTATACATCACTTCAGGCAGGGGCGGACTGGCCATTGGGAATACCGGGAGTTTCCCCGGTGGGCCGGTGCTGTGTGTGGGCCGGAGGGCCACAAAAAAAAAAAAAAAAAAAAAGTTTCTTAAAAAAAAAAAATATATTCTTTTTTTTTTGCCTAAATCCTACCGGCCCACATTTGTAAGTGTTCCGGTGTTACGTAATCAGAATACAAAACTCAAGTAACTGTATTCAGCTCGCGTTACATTTAAAAAACGAATAATCTGATTACAGTTATTTTCGTAAACCTGAAGTGAATACATTTTGGATTACTTATTGGAATTATTGGTGGAAAGATTTCCTTCATTTACTTCAACATTTAAAAAAAATCTTCTCGGGGGAGCTTGCCCCCGGACCCCCCTAGAGGAGGTGAGGTCCACCACCTGCCCACCCTGTTAAATTGTCTCACCCACATTGAGGATGCTTCCTACGCCCATGTTTTATTCCATGCGTCAAGTCAGGCAAATTGGGTCCAAATGTTATTGCATTAATGATCTGTTAACATTAAAATCACTAAATATATGCTGTAACTATTTTGCTCTAGGCAACTCAAGGGCTCAGGTAATGTGATTACTATATGAATAATTGTCCAAAATAACATAAAATGCATAGTGTTTTTTGTTAAGTAACATACTTTCGTCGCCGGCCGGCCGATACATGCCGCGCATTAAGTGGGCCTGTCTGTCAATTAATCCCCGGGCCACTTTTTCGCCCCAGTCCGCCCCTGACTTCAGGGGACATTACATTGACTTACATACATTTCCTGGAGACTTATCCTAACCTTAACCATAACCAACACATGCCTAACCCTAACCCTAACCCTAACCCTTACAAGTCTTTCACCTCTAAAAATGAATGAGTCCCCTCATGGGGACCTCCAATGTTCCCCATAAGGGAGCGCGAAGTCCCCCCACACGTGACTGTTGTAAAACAATTTAGGTCCCCACAAAGTATAGTAATGCTAGGCACACAACACACACAACACAACACACACACCACACACACACACACACACACCACACCACACACACACACACACCACCCACACACACACACACACACACTCTCTCACAACATTTTATATATCCACAAAAAAATCTCAATTCATCCACATCCAAACTCGAACATCACACCACACACACGCACACACACACACACACACACACACACACACACACACACACACACATAAAACACCTCTAATCAATACTGAAAGCAGCTGGTTGTTGCTAACGCTGTGTAACGCAGGCTTCTTTTAGATCCCAGATTAAAATGACAGATTTCACACATGTTGAATTGTTGGAAGCATTTGGGGTAAAGTAAACCGTAGCTCAAATACCTGCCTAGCTTTTATTAGACGTTTAAGAGCGGTGCAGCTTGCATCTTATAGGCTGTTGGTTACTTTATGCGCTACAAACCCATTTTTTTTGGGGGGGGGGGGTGCAGGTGTGTTGATGTCTGTGTAAGTGTGACAGAGTAATCCGTGCAACAAGAAGAAGCCGGAGGCGTCTAGTCTGCTGCTCTCCACTCTGTTCCTGATGCTCTTATGACCTACTTTATATTTAATATGGGTTGAAATCAGTGCTGTAATCAAGCTCATTCACGCACAACGTTAACTCTTTGTAAAACTGCACGGCTCTAACCCTTTTTTAGATGGTCTTAAACCACCAGACTCAGAGACAGCTTCATCCCACAGGCCGTACGACTGCTAAACCTGAACTGCTGAAGGAACATCCATAACATTCTGTCTGCAACTACCCAATTACTTATCGGATATATCATATTCCAATTACTTGTATATAGACTCTTATTGCACTATTCTATTCTATTCTATTCTATTCTATTTTATTTGTATTTACGTTGTCATTGATATATCTACACTGAAGCTACAGTATGTACACATGGCATTACAAGCCTTGAAGAGGCCCTGTTCTGCGTACTGCGGGTTCCCTCTCTTGTAGTGTGTGTGTAGGTTTTAGTGCATGTCAAAATTAAGTGGAAAACTACTTTATAATAACAACCGTGATTCTGTCTTCCTCTCTGCAGATCCTAGTGAGAGCGCGGCCCTGCGTGGATGAGTTGCGAGGGTGTGTGTGTGTGTGTGTGTGTGTGAGTGTGTGTAAGAGAGCGTCAGCGCTCCCACATGGCCTCCATGCAAGACGGGCTGAACTTCACGGCTCCTCCCTACGGCAAAGTGCTGCTGCTGGGCGCCATCGCTGCTGCCTCCGCCTTCGTGGTCACCATCCTCATCGTGGTGCTGTGTGTGGGCTGCCAGCGGTGAGACACACACACACACACACACACTCCATACACACACACACACACATACCATGTATACATCACTTCAGGGGACATTACATTGACTTACATGCATTTCCTGGAGACTTATCCAAACCTTAACCATAACCAACACATGCCTAACCCTAACCCTAAACCTAACCCTTAACCTTACCCTAACCAAGTCTTCACCCTAAAATTAATGATTCCCCTCATGGGGACCTCCATTTCATCCCCATAAGGGAGGCGAGTCCCCACACACACACACACATACACAGAAAAATCACATACATTCAAACTTTATATATACACATAACATCTCAATTGATACACACACACATCCAAACTCGATACAAAGACACACACCCTCCTAGGATACACACACACACACACACACACACACACACACACACACACACACACACACACACACACACACACACACACACACACACACACACACTGTTCTAAGTGTCTGCTTGTGTGCTTTCAGGAAGGGAAAGACGCACAATGTTCCCGGCGAGGGTGGAAAACACCGTCTCATGGACATGGTAGATATCTTCACTAAATCATTCAGAGGACCCCTCTTCATCCTAAATACTGTTTAACTGGCCCCCCTGTGTGTGTGTGTGTGTGTGTGTGTGTGTGTGTGTGTGTGTGTGTGTATGTGTGTGTCAGGGTATTCTCCGACAGTCCAAGCTGCGCTCCATCAGTAAATCAGACGCTGAGATGAACAAGATGAACTGCAATGGCAAAAGTGAGTCCATCCATCTCAAGCAAACGCTGACCTGTGGAAACCCTGTATCTCCTTAATGAAATTACACAGTGTGTGTGTGTGTGTGTGTGTGTGTGTTTCAGCGGCATGACGAAGCACTTTTGGCTTCATTGAAGGTGCAGTCAGCGATTCTAATGCAATAATTTAGTAAATGTCTCCTCACAAAGCAAAGAACACAGAGTCAGAACATTGAGAATAAATACACTATTTTCATTATATTTCATCACTTCATTAAAGTACTTTTAATCCTATTTAAAATCATTAAAGTCACAAACAGTGGAGATACAAGGTTTTTATCAGAGTCAATCCATGGAAATGGCAAAACTGGAAATTGTAGCATGTTCTGATTTAATGTAAATGTCCTTAATCATTTTATATTAAATATATGTTTCTTTTAATGTTTTGACATTATATGGTGTTTTCTTTTAACTTAATTTGTATTCCCTATTTGTATTAGTATTTTGATTGGCTTTGTTTATACTGTATGTGCTCTCAATTTGCTTATTATAATTATAATAATAATGCTATATTTTTTGAATGTCATAAATGGGTTTCTGAATTGTATTTGTTTTTCTAAAATTATTATTTATTATTACTCATATTTATATATATTTATTTCTTGGGATTCTTTTTTCTGATATTATTTATTATTATTTTAATGCCTGGGGTCTGCAAAAACAACATTACAAACATAGATTAATGCAATGAAACATTTAGTTTGCGGCGTCTCACCGCACATTTCCCTCCGTATCTGATCCGGCCCTAAATTCATGCAAAACCCAAACTGCATTTGACCCTAAAACAGAACTCGCCTCACATTCCCTCCTCATCCCTTTCCTCTGGACTCTGTGTTTGTGAACATGCTTCATCTTTCTCCCTTTAAGAGACGAGCAGGGAGCCAAGTTCCTGTGTTTGTGGCTCAGTGACAGCAGAAACACATGTTCTGCTTCAGATCCGTCCCGAAGTCGATTTGGAAGCGTTTTCCTCAAAGCTCAACGTCAGCTCTGTCTCTGTCAAAGGGAGATTTATTCATGTTCACTACTGTGTGTCCAGTACAGAGGAGGACATGTGTGTGAGTTTGGTTTTATGGTGCCTTTCAGAGGCTCCTAAAAAAAGAAAGGTCCCCAGTGTTGCCAGATGTACAATAATGATCATATTTATCCAATAATATTACACTCTGTAGGATCAATATCACCCAAAGATAATTGTATAGCTTCAGTTTTAGTCAGAAAATAAGCAAACCTTTATGATACAGCAGGATAATCACAGCATACCTTTAAGGGTTTCCCAATCTTAAATGCAATGTCAAGAAGTAAAAAACTAACGTTAGGCTATAAAGGAACTACAGTGTGGTCACATGACTTCACGTCACAACCGCTAAGCTAAAGGTGGCTAATGTTGGGCTATAAAAGAACTACAGCACGGTCACAGGACTTCAGGTCACCAACGCTAAGCTAAAGGCGGCTAATGTTGGGCTATAAAGGAACTACAGCACAGTCACATTACTTCACGTCACCACCGCTAAGCTAAAGGTGGCTAATGTTGGGCTATAAAGGAACTACAGCACGGTCACATGACTTCACGTCACCACCGCTAAACTAAAGGCGGCTAATATTGGGCTATAAAGGAACTACAGCATGGTCACATGACTTCACGTCACCACCGCTAAGCTAAAGGTGGCTAATGTTGGGCTATAAAGGAACTAGAGCACGGTCACATGACTTCACGTCACTACCGCTAAGCTAAAGGTGGCTAATGTCGGGCTATAAAGGAACTACAGCACGGTCACATGACTTCACGTCACCACCGCTAAGCTAAAGGTGGCTAATGTTGGGCTATAAAGAAACTACAGGACGGTCACATGACTTCACGTCACCACCGCTAAGCTAAAGGAGGCTAATGTTGGGCTATAAAGGAACTACAGCACGGTCACATGACTTCACGTCACCACCGCTAAGCTAAAGGCGGCTAATGTTGGGCTTTAAAGGAACTACAGCACGGTCACATGACTTCACGTCACCACCGCTAAGCTAAAGGCGGCTAATGTTGGGCTTTAAAGGAACTACAGCACGGTCACATGACTTCACGTCACCACCGCTAAGCTAAATGTTGGGCGTGATGACTTTTGGTCGTCTCATTAAGACACTTGTTAGCAACCGCCATTAATAAGACACATACAAATTCCCAGTAGGAAAAAGTATCGTAGTACAAACGTTAAAATCTTCCAGCTTTTGTTAATCATAGACCTTGTTTAGGGAATATAATTCCAAAAACCATTGACTTTAAGAAACAGAACAGGAAGTGCTGAAATGCTAAGTAATTTCTAGGTTTAAGGATTAATTCCTGCTGCTCCTGCTTTAGAGGAGTATTACAAATATTGTCTGACAGATGGACCTTTTTTTCACAGAATACTACTAAAAAAACTAATGATGGTATAGTTCTAGGCTTGTCAAATAGTTGTTCTGTAAAATTAGATATTGACGCCTACTGGTTCGAGAGGTGGTTATGATCCACATAAATAACTTAAGTCAAAATCTATCCATCAAACATTTGGAAGAAATGGTCACGGAGGTAGCAGTTTTAAGTCTAAATTTGATCAAGTTAAACCTCTGTGAGGATAGTTCCGTCCCGTATCTGGCAACGCTGGGTCCTCAGTCTGGACCTTCTGCTGCTGCCCGGCAGGTCTAACTCTGGTTCGTTCTCAAGGCAGGCAGCTCCCCCAGATCCCTGAGGACGGGGAGCACACTTACTCAGAGGTCGCTACTCGTACTGACGATGCCCTGTACGCCATGGTAGGCAGGGCCGGGCAGACGGACACCCCGGCCCCCCCCGCTGTGCCCGCCAACACCCCGGCGCCTCCGGACCCTGACGGAGACGCTGAGGGAGGGATGCCCGACTCTGAGGTCATGCAGCCCGCTCCTCCTCCTCCTGAGACGGCTGAGTACGCCTGCGTCCGGAAGCTGAGGAAGGCGGACAAGGCGCCGCAGAAGAGAGACAGCGGGACAGACATGGCGGAGGCGCCGGTGCCTCAACAGAGACACCCCCCCCCGTCTCACCCTGCTCCCCCGCCCCCTCATCCCACTCACCCCCACAGCACCAAGCTGCCCCGCAGGAACCAGGACGCCTTCAACGTGCCCGCATTCCCAAAGGTTGGTACACACACATAGTCAAATGTCAAAGTCAACTTCATTGCCAATCTTTCAGTTTGTGTGTGACACAGAGAGATCGAAAACATTTCTGAAGATATAGCAGCCAGGTATGAGTTTCAGTCTCAGGATCCATGTATCTGTGATCCTCTCCAGAATGGAAGTAGTCATCACATACAGAGCATCAACTAGTTCCTGAACAGTGTCCTTCACATGCTGATATCCAAGAGAGGGAGTTACACAGTCACAAGATGGAGGAATAGAAAGCAGTATTCAATGTTTACTTCAGATTAGCTCCACGTCAGAAATGAGCATGCTTGATGTCTCTCTCCATAGAGGCTGAATCATCATGTTAATCACATAGCTATCATATGCCTCAAACAGTCCTGATGCTCTTCTAGGTAATCACACATCCTGTCATGTTCACAGCTACAGTTGGGATACCTTTGTTATCATGTTACTCTCATGTTGGAAGAGGACATTCAGTATTTCCCAAAACATTTCAGTGTTTAAATTCCATAAAGTACTATAAAAATGAAGGACAAGGTGCACTTACCAAAAACTTTTGTTTAGCGCTTTCAGCTGCATCTCATCTCCATGACAAGTGGGCAAACTCCATACGCCGATGAAGACCATGAGATGCAGTTGAAAGTGGAAAAGCTAGTAAGTGGACCTTATGTTAAGATTGTTTAAGTCAAATAAATTGTCTCTGAGCTAAACTTGGTTCTAACATTTGGCTATTTGTGTTAAAGTAACATTTCAACCTCCTTATTATTGAAGGGGTCAGGATTGATGGTTTAATTGTTCTCTCAAAGTTGATCTTGTCCGACAACACGGTCACGATGTGGTCGGCTAGTCTCTTAAACAAATGCACATTCATTTGATTGAGAAAATGCTAAACCAACCTAGAGAAACAATAAGAAACGTAGCTCAAAATGTGATAGCATGAAGCCAAATGAATAGAGCCAGTCTGGTCGCAGAGACAACTGTACTTGATGTGTTTCTGTAACTGATTTCATTTACACGTATGTTATTATTTACTTCACAACACTGTCTGTATGTAACCTGATTGGCACCAGATTCTCACACAACCTGGTCAGTAATGGAAAGAGGGAACGTTGCCACATGCTGTTGGTGACCTTGTGTTTGGTGTCACTCGAAACAAAGGCAATAACAACACATCTTGTTTGTGATCGGCCCGGGTCGTAATGTTGAGGTGTTTCAGTTTCATGGGGTGAAGGAGGTGAAGGAGTGTTTGCTGGAGGGGGAGATGAAAAGTTAACGGCTGAGTTGGGTTTCTTGTGGTTCTCCAGAGGTCTGACAGGATCACACAAAGCGGATTTAAGACTTGAGGTGATGCCTTGTGACTCAATGGAAGAAATACTGGCTGTGTTGCTTTAGGTACAAGTGAGATATGAACACAACGATCCATTTGTTTGAAGGCGGAGTTAGTTCTTTAAAACGGCACACAAATCAGCCCATTCATGTTTTTGGAATCTGATCTTTGACATTCTTGGACCACTTTATTGTTTGGTCCTCAATCAGATGCAGGTTTGCGATGCACCACGAGTCTGACCCGTCATATCGGATTGCATGCAACCTTTAAGTCACTCTAGATTTGATATGCATCCTATTTATGTGCTTGTGAGTCACTCTGTAGATGAAAACAGTGAAGACCAGGAGTTAGAGTAGCAGTGACTTCAGTTCGAGCTACACTTGAGGAGTTGCATCGTTACTGGTCTGTGTTTCAAAGCATATCGAAATAAATCTTTGCCACAGAAGAACAAGGCTAGGTCCAGGAAATAAGCTAAAACACAAGTTATCATCTGCTCTACTGCAGATCAAGTAGCAAATGAAACGGTAAAAGCCGAGTTTGGTGCCCTCCATGTTTACGACAGAGTGCCGTGTCTGACGTCTTTGTTGTTGTTCTTTGGGTCAGGACAGTGACCGGTTCAGACTGGAATCTTATATTGGCCACTATTAGCTTTGTCCGTTGTTCCCGCGTCCCAGGAGAGAAGCTTAAAAAGTAAGAGACAATGGAGTCTCTGAGAAAGGTCAGATTGGTTACTTTAATTAAATAGCGTGGTAATGAATCAGACAGAAGGTAGACGGGAGCACACAGCTGTGTTCTCGGGTCTGCAGCGAAGGAAGAGAGACCCAACCACGCACGTCGGCTGGTTATGTATCCTCCGTTGGCTCCTCCTCACGTGCCGGTTGGCGATGTAGGGGGACCTCCCACCTCGGTCTTCAATGTCCGTTATCGTGCATAACAGAGGATTTAGACGTTGTATATTCATTACATAACTCCACACGCCTTTTCTCCTCATACTCTTTCATGACTTTTTATTTAATGCATTTTAACGGCTGTAATGGCGTTTTTGTTAATGCCGGAAGTCAAGCTTACTGTTGGTACTTCGGAGATCTCTTCCGGAATAGTTTTTCAAAATAAACTTAAACCACAGGTGAATGCTAACCGGAAATGTTTTCGCAATAAAACAGTTATACAATTACTGTATGTTTAAACTATATTACATTGATTTTAATTTCTTACACCACGTATACAAAATGATGAGCCCAATATCTAATCTGATCGGTCCAAAATCTGCATTGAGTCTTATAGTGTGAAGATACCAGTGTCTGAGTTCTCGGTCAAATCTTCGCCCTGATTGTCGGGGTTAGATTCATGTTTCCGGCTGCATTGACATGTCATGATTGATCTGTAGTTCTTTGTCAGTATCGTGTGTACCACATTCATATGTTGTCCAGGTACAGTGGAGAGCGTCAGATTCCCTGTCGAAGCTGCAGGTGATCTTCACGGTTGTAATCGTGCCAACGCTGCAGTTTGCTCTGCATTTATCCCCACTGTGCAGGTGATTTGTTAGCACCTACTTAGCAGTCTGGGCAGGGAGACGTGATCACGTGTCCGATAGTTATATATGTTGTCCTGCTCTCAGCGGTGTCCCGTCCTCCATATGTTCAAAGTCTGTCCTGTTTTTATAGTGGATGAACAGGCTGTGTGTGCCCCGTGTGAGACCAGCAGGTTACACTTTGTTCTGTGACCCGGGTTCAGTAACACGCACACAGTTCACAGACTAACGCGTGTTGGCTGTCTGCTCTGTGGATGATGCAACATGTTGAAACTGAGCACATGCTTCCTCACAGCCTCACCTTCCAGGGAAAACCTCCTGCATGGAAATCTAGCACGAGTGTAATGCTCACTCAGCACGTTTATTGATAACATTATTATTATTAATATTCTATAATAACGTGCAATTACGTATCTGCCACTACATCAACATGTGTCCCCTCTTCTTCATGTCTCTTCTACATCAACATGTGTCCCCTCTTCTTCATGTCTCTTCTACATCAACATGTGTCCCCTCTTCTTCATGTCTCTTCTACATCAACATGTGTCCCTCTTCTTCATGTCTCTTCTACATCAACATGTGTCCCCTTCATGTCTTCTATCAACATTGTCCCCTCTTCTCATGTCTCTACATCAAACCATGTGTCCCCTCTTCTTCATGTCTCTTCTACATCAACATGTGTCCCCTCGCTATCTTCTGTCTCTTCTACATCAACATGTGTTCCCCTCTCTTCCTTATGTCTCTTCTACATCAAACATGTGTCCCCTCTTCTTCATGTCTCTTCTACATCAACATGTGTCCCCTCTTCTTCATGTCTCTTCTACATCAACATGTGTCCCCTCTTCTTCGTGTCTCTTCTACATCAACATGTGTCCCCTCTTCTTCATGTCTCTTCTACATCAACATGTGTCCCCTTCTTCTTCATGTCTCTTCTACATCAACAGTTGTCCCCTCTTCTCCATGTCCTCTTCTACATCAACATGTGTCCCCTCTTCTTCATGTCTCTTCTACATCAACATGTGTCCCCTCTTCTCCATGTCTCTTCTACATCAACATGGTGTCCCCTCTTCTTCATGTCTCTTCTACTCAAACATGTGTCCCCTCTTGTTCCATCATGTCTCTTCTGCATCACATGTGTCCCCTCTTCTCCCATGTCTCTTCTACATCAACATGTGTCCCCTCTGTGGAAAGAGACTCTGAAAGTTTCAGGAACAAAGATTCTCTCTCTTTTTGATCCATTTCTATTAAAACCTGTCTGAAAATGAGCTGATCAGATTTTGGCCACTTTGTGATGTCATAACGATGTTTTGTCTTGTGTAACCATTAGCCAATCAGCAACCAAGGTAACCCCCCACATTTCTCTGCATGTTTAAAGAGGCTCATTTGTCTGTTATGAATCCCATCTGGTCTGTTCTTTAAAATGCACGTTGTATATTCCCAAGTCCTGGTGACCGTGTGACGAGCTGTGCCCTGATTCTGTTGACAGGAGGTGATGTTTATGGGCAACGGAGAGCAGTACATCTGGAAGCCTCCGGAGGAAGAGGAGATGCTCATGCACCAAAATAAGGCCCTGGGACCGCTGGGTGCTCACACGGTGGAGAATATCCAGCCGTCTGCTGCTGTGGTGAGTCTGAGCATCAACACGCTTTATCTGTTAAAGGGACAGTACACCTCAAAATCACACTGCATTTATTACCGTGTTTAAGCTATGTGTTATTATTATTATGCGTCACTTTCTTCTCCATTAGGACACAGAGGTTGCACTTTTCCTTGTTCATGTGATGTTTTGGTGTAGTTGTTTTGTTTCTTTCCGTTAAGTGGGAACTAAGTATTTTTTTGTACGTTTTTGTGTTTCTCTTATTTTCCTACGATACTGTTATGTGTGGCTGTGAATAAGAACATATAGTTACCTTGGTTGCTGATTGGCTAATGGTTACACAAGACAAAAAATCACCTGAATGTCCTCCTAGAGCACCATTGAGTTCTTTGTAAGCAAAGAGGGGCGTGGGGAGGGGCTCCTTATTTTCATCTGAAGTAACAGACAGAGAATCAGCACTTTGGAAACAGGGCTGAAACAGAGGGGATTATGGGTAATGCTGCAATGATCTGTTTGGTGTTTCAGCCAATCAGAGACAGGCTCTGTACATATCTGAGACCTGTGATATATTGATGAAAAGAGTATAAGAGGAGACCTTTAACCTTTTGAGTATTCCCAAATTTCCAATTTTGTTTTGTTTTAACATTGTCTTTCCTACAGTGGGTGTTCTCAGTGAGGTTCTATTTCATCCTTACTGACCGCCAGAGGCAGTGCTTAGCACTGGATATCTTCTGTCTCGTGCATGCGCAGGTCGAGTATTTATGTCAACAAAGTCACATGTGACCTCGCATGACCCCGGAAAGCATAAGTTCTGGTGTCAACAAGTTCAGTCCTTTTTCATCTTCTCGCTGCGCAGGCTACTACTCTGACAGCAGAAGCCAGGCAAAGCTATCAATATTTGATTATTCAAGCTCATCGCTATCTGTAGCCTTATGATCACGTCTGTCGGAGCTGAGGGTTAAACGCGACTTGCCCTCCGAAGGCTGCGACGAGCTGTCCCTGCGAAGGGAGAGAACCGCGGTCTTCACCGTTCGGACTCTCAGGAGCCCAGGAACGGCGGACGCTCCTGCACATCAGACGCCTTGGCGTCTCCCCAACATAGGACCTCCTCTCAGCTGGAGGGTCGGATGTGACATCCCGACCCCTGCCGCCTTCAGCTGTGGGTCTGGCCACTGTAGGGCCCGACCCGCTGCTGAGCGACTGCATAGAGCCTGTCAAGAGGACTATTCTCAATGCCAGGGCACCGTCTACTCATATACAGTACGAAAACAGGTGGAAACTATTTTCTGACTGGTGCCAATGGCGAAACGAGGACCCAGTGCATTGCTCGGTGCCAACTATCTTTGACTTCCTGCGGTCCCTCCTGGATGACGGCTGGTGTCCCACTACCGTCAGGGTATATGTGGCTGCTACCTCATCTCAACATGCAAGGGTTGACAACAACACAGTGGGGAGCCACAGGCTGGCACCCCTCTTCTTAAGGGGAGCCCTGAGGCTGCGCCCCCCGAACGTCCTAATGCTGCGTTCACACCGGACGCGATGCGAATATTCGCTTCGCTCTAAACGTTTGAGTGCCAGCTGTGTTTACTCGCATCATTCAAACAAGACGCGCTGGCTCGGGAGCTACAACTACAACAAAATGAACATATTTTACCGTGATTCAATTGTAATACACGTTTCTAAATGATGCCGACGTAACAACATACTGATAAGAGTTAGGGAAGTTAATAACCTGTTAAACCCCGAGCCTGTTTTTCAGGTCTCAGGCTCGAAAATGACATTCCCAGAACAAATGACCATATCTTCCCTTCTAAAAGGGGTAAATTAATAATCTTTTTTCTCAAAGTAATGATAAACCTGTGAGTTGGATGTAGAAAAGTCGGAATCAATATAGATGTTTTTTATTTTAAAGAAAATTCAGATTGAACATGGTAAAAAAACTGTAAATAATAGTGTCCGTCCAAAAGATATTTTGTACTTATAGTGAAAACTAACCTTGGATGATGGGTTAGTAGACTAAAAGCTTTAGGAATCCAAAGTACAACATATAATAAGTACCCTGTATCAAGATTGATGCAAAACAAGTTATATTTGACCTTTTTAGACAGATTTAGCAAAAAAACCCTCTTCTGGGGTCATTTGGGGGGGTTTTCCATATCTCTGGCCCCCCTTGTTCGATTTTGACATCTCTTTCTGACCGTTAGAGCCAGTAGAATCCAAGGGAAATCGTCCCGCACACACTCATCTTAAAAAAAGATGAAGCGAATGCTAGCTTGCAGCAAAGGGGAGAAATATCGCTGCTCTGATATAAAGCAACAGAAAAGCTGTTTTATTGTTTATGGATTATCAGAACATTTCAAAGGGGACGTTTTTATCGTTGTAATGCCATTGAAGACCAGTTTAGACCAGACAAAGACGAAGGTAAGCCATGTTAGCGTTGTGGGCTACCGAGCGCCACTTGTTTTGATGTACATTTTTGTTGATAACGTCGCGAGTTTGTATCTGTATTCTGTGTCTCCTTGCGATCATAAACGATGTGTTGGATGTGCACCTAGGATAAGTAACAAGGGAGCTAGGAGTGATTATCGGTGCAGTAATAGGTTAGCATTTTTCGCTCAGGGGTAATTTAGATGCTTCTTATGAGACTTGTGTTTTGTTTTGGTAAAAATGGTTTGTATCATCAGTTAGCTGAGATTATTCCCGTTAATCTGGTATAACACATTAATAGGTTCTTAAATATTAAGATCCCCTGAGACACAGTGTTGTGAACAAAAAAGAAAAAGGACCCGCCGAGGGGGTCCTTGGGGCTTAACAGGTTTTTAAGTTAAACCCTAAGTTAGTAGAAACCATGAATTAATGCTTGACAAGTCTGCAGACAGACGGCAGGCGAAAAACCTTTTAAATGCTTTTCTGAATGGAGATCGGGTCGACCAGGCTAAGCTAACGTTGTATATGCTCACTCCACACTCATAACAACGGCCCACAGACATAAATAAACCAGCGACTGTATTCGCCATGACACAGACAGTCTGTGGTTTGTACTTGTTTAACTTTTGTCCAGTTTTTGAACAGATATGAGGAGCTGTGAGCTCTGAGCTCTGAGTGCTAACTGCTAACAGCTAACAGCTAACAGCTGATGTTTTCTGGTTGAACGTCAGTGACTGCAGGCTGAGATCCTCACCGCTGATTGGCTTCCGCGAGAACGCGTCACGTGAATTTGACGCTCGAGTTGAAAAGATGGAACTCTCGCGTTTGACCGTTCAATCGCCTCAATCGCGTGATTCGCGCCGCGTCTACCGCTTCATGCTTGCCGTCGGAGCGAATTTGCGTCTCTCCGCATCTCTGCATTAACTTTACATGTAATCGCACCGCCCCCAAACATTGCATCGCGTCCGGTGTGAACGCAGCATAAGGACTCCTACATGGGACCTGCCCTTGGTGCTGAACGCCCTATGCTCGCCTCCCTTTGAACCCTTGTCACAGCAAAGCGTGTAAGTGAGCACGTTGTACAGCGTTCCTCCCTAAGGTGCTGGCACGCTGTCATCTCAATCGGCCTATCCAGCTGGCACGGTTTGACCCCCCCATCAGGAGAGGGGGAGGAGAGGTCATAACTCTTATGGTTACGGTCAGTAAGGATGAAATAGAACGAAAGTTACGTATGTAAATACGGTTCTATGAATCCTGGATGACCGCCAGAGTTCTTAGTCACTCGGAATCCCGTGTTCCGCCGAGAATATTCCATAGGACTGAACTCATTGACAACAGCAGAACTTATGCTTTCAGGGATCATGCGAGGTCACACGTGACTTGTTGACATAAATACTCGTCCTGCGCATGCGCGAGACAGAAGATATCCAGTGCTAAGCACTGCCTCTGGCGGTCATCCAGGATTCATAGAACTGTAGTTTCATTCGTAACTTTCATTTTCTTCTCAGGTGGCGGAGATGTACTCGAAGGTGTGTAAACCTGGGAAGAAGAAGCGAGCGATGCCAGGGTCTCCTCCAGGAAACCCTGGCTTCCGGACCCTGGGTCGGGGGGACCGGGACCGGGATCGGGACGGCGGGTTCAGTGTTGTTGTGAAGCCGCAGACGTGGGCCTTGCCGGAGGGGAGGGCCGGGGCGCTGGACGACCACTGCTACGAGTCCATCGGCACGGAGGAGTGCGACCTGGCCTACGAGAACTTGGACGCGGCCTGGAAGAGAGAGAGGCCGCCCAACACCTGCGCCACCCTGAGACCACGGAGGAAGAAGTCCCAGCAGCCTTTGCAGCAGCAGCAGCCGCCACCTCCCCCGCCCACGCAGCAGCAGCCCCCCCCCCCACCTGCAGCAAGCCAAAGCCCTGCTGCTGCCGGGGGAGAACCTGTACGAGAGCATCGGGGACCTGAAGCAGGGCTCGAACACCTCCAGCACCACCACCATCTTCACCTTCAACGACGGCATGGAGATGTACGTGACGGGGCTGTGAGACCCTCATCAGGCTCTAAAGACCCTCCATCAGGATCTGAGACCCTCCATCAGGCTCTGAGACCCTCCATCAGAACCTGAGACCCTCCATCAGGCTCTGAGAACCTACATAAGAACCTGAGCACCCTCCTGAGACCCTTCATCAGGATTTGAGACCCTCCATCAGGTTCTTAAGACACTCCATCAAGACCTGAGACCCTCCATCAGGCTCTGAGACCCTCCATCAGACTCTGAGACCCTCCATCAGACTCTGAGACCCTCCATGCCCCCAACACATACTGTTTACATTCAGTCATAACGCCCCCCCCCCCCCCCCCACAAACATGTGGATCTGTTATGACCCGGGCTCCCCTCTATAAACCTTACAACGAATCCAAAGGTAGTGAACACTAAATGAGCACAAGACCCCGCAGAGCGATCTGTGGGGAACAGTAGCACTTCTATTTTACGGAGACATATGTGCTAAGCACAATTAAGTAAAAAGCCTAAATTCTTCCTCAATTATAGCGGGTAAAAAGGTCCGAGCAGGACTGTTATTGCGGGAAAAGGCACAGCATTGTGGGAAATCTTTTGGTAGCACTTATCATGAGCTTCCCTGTAGAGTCAAGATGTGAATTTAAATGATATATAAGGAATGAATTACTAATCAAAAATACTTGAAAGCTCAGGGACCAAGAGAAACAATTATGAGAGTATTATAAGTAAATAAATTGCACACATTTTGCATTCCTCCTAAAAAGCTTCAACTCATTTAAGACCATCATCGTGTTTGGAAAAGCGACTGGAAACTTCCCTCCGTCATGTGGGGCTGGGCGATGTCGGGAAATCTGATACCGTGATACGTTTGACCAAATACCGATATCGTACGACTGACCTTTCACTAAATATTTACTCAATGAGATTTTCTCAACAGATAATTAGCAGTAATGTGCATTTAATGACTAAGCAAGTAAAGACAAATAATGGAAGAGCGGTCTGGTGATTCGAATAACTCCAAATATTGAATGTGAAAAGATTAATACCAACATTTAAAGATTGTCTAATTAATGTTAAAAACCTATGTACAAATCGACCCTTTTGGCTTTTAAACGTAATACTCCATCACCGCTCAACGCTGCTTTATGGATCATGCAAATCCACTTTCACGGCAAGTATTTGGGCAAATATTTTAAATCATTGTGCGCTCACATGCCGTTTAACACCCTGGCTAATCTTGTAAGCTTAGAAAAAGACATCAGTATCTAAAATCTCAGACGATATCTCGCCTCATATCACGATATTGGTATATTATGGGATGTATTGCCCGGCCCTACTTCACGTTTAGTTTGACCGGACATGGACTGAACACCGTCTCCACTGCCGTCTGTAAATTAAGTGTTTTACTTTGTTGATCCTGTTTCTGCACTTTGCCTGCTACAAGTTGCATGCTAGAAAAAAAAAAAAAATCACCAAAAAAATCAAGCACTGTCATGTGGTTCCTCGATATGGATGTTCTTCATTTTAAATTGTCGTTGGTTGTTTTATTTTTTAAAGTGTGTTGCTTTATTTCTCTGTAGAGCACAAAGCCAGTTAGATTAAAGACGTCCGGGACTCTGAGGGGAGAGTTGACTTTCCCTCGTCTCACACACCGAGAGGAAACCCCACACACACACACACACACACACACACACACACACACACACACACACACACACCACACACACACACACACACACACACACACACACACCACCACACACACACACACACACACCACACACACACACCACACACACACACACACACACACACACACACACACACACACACCACACACACACACACACCACACACACACACACACACACACACCACACACACACACACACACACACACACACACACACACACACACACACACACACACACACACACACACACACACACAACAACACACACCACACACACACACACACACACACACCTCTCCGCTCAGTCCTCACGTCTGTGGAGCGTTCATCTACATTTGCCTTGTGGTCACATGGATCTGCCGTCATCCCTCCATCGATGAACTCTCTCTGTTATCAGTGTTCAAGTATTGCAGAAATTACAAAAAAAAATGAAGTGAAGCAAAAGGTTTTCGCGGAGCATCATCCTCCTAAAGATCACAAATTTACAAATCCTGGACGATTATATATACATATATCATTCGACCAAATCTCCCCAGCCAACAATGTGATTATATGTATGTTGATGCAACGTGTATGTACATTACAAAAGAGAAAGAATAATAAATATATCATCAGTGTCAAGAAATCTATCTTTTTCTATGATGTTTAATTGTGTTTTGGAATGACTTTATCTTGTGACACAAACGTGCGGAAAAAAACCAGCTGCAATGTGAATCAGTGTTTTCTGTTTGTTGTTTTCTGGAGCCATGAAGCTACGGCGTGTTCTTGGAAAGCCCGCTGACTTACATGTGGCAGCTAATGTTGTGTGTTTGCTATTCAGACTACAGGGTCTTGTACTCGACAAAGCGTGTCCTTTTAAGTGCTAAAGTGCAAAAGATTGTAATGTTTTATATCAAGATTACTATTCATGAAATGTCAAGTTTATACTTTTGTAATAAAGTGGCACTTTAAAAAACAAAGATGTCTTATCTCATAGTTTCAGTTATTAAAATGATAAAAGAACAGCAGATTGAAGACGGTCTTTTTATAAAATATCACCAAGAGTTGACCTTGACGTTTCAAAAGAGGATTTTTTTATTTATTCAAACCTTTTCTTCGGATCTAAAAAGCGGCCGGACGAACGAACCTAAACTCTTAGAATATCTGAATCATATCGTGTAAAATATGATTCAGATATTACTTAAATCCAAGGCTGCATGGTTCCTTTGTGTGCAGCCTTGATGAACACGTGTGCTTAGAGGAATAACAGGTCATTCGCCTTCACCTAAAGAGAGACTTAACCAGGAAGAGACGCAAAATGACCAAAAAATGACAACAAAGAGACATAATAATACTACTAAACGTCCGTAAACAGACACATCACCGATGAAGACGCACACAATGACAATAAAGAGACATAAAAACGACTTCAAAGAGACTAAAAGGACCATAAAGTGACACAAATGACCACAATGATAGAACTATTCTTACAAAGAGAGACTACAAATGACTACAAACACACTGGAAATAACTATAGAGACACTATTACTACCAAGAGACACAACACCACTACCAAAAGACACAACACCACTGCCAAGAGACACACAACCACTGCCAAGAGACACAAAACTACTGCCAAGAGACACACAACCACTGCCAAGAGACACAAAACTACTGCCAAGAGACACACAACCACTGCCAAGAGACACACAACTACTGCCAAGAGACACACAACCACTGCCAAGAGACACAAAACCACTGCCAAGAGACACACAACCACTGCCAAGAGACACAAAACCACTGCCAAGAGACACAACACTACTGCCAAGAGACACACAACCACTGCCAAGAGACACAAAACCACTGCCAAGAGACACAAAACCACTGCCAAGAGACACAACACTACTGCCAAGAGACACACAACCACTGCCAAGAGACACAAAACCACTGCCAAGAGACACACAACCACTGCCAAGAGACACAACACCACTGCCAAGAGACACAAAACCACTGCCAAGAGACACACAACCACTGCCAAGAGACACAAAACCACTGTCAAGAGACACACAACCACTGCCAAGAGACACAACACCACTGCCAAGAGACACACAACCACTGCCAAGAGACACACAACCACTGCCAAGAGACACAAAACCACTGTCAAGAGACACAAAACCACTGCCAAGAGACACACAACCACTGCCAAGAGACACAAAACCACTGCCAAGAGACACACAACCACTGCCAAGAGACACAACACCACTGCCAAGAGACACAAAACCACTGCCAAGAGACACAACACCACTGCCAAGAGACACAAAACCACTGCCAAGAGACACAACACCACTGCCAAGAGACACAAAACTACTGCCAAGAGACACAAAACCACTTCCAAGAGACACAACACCACTGCCAAGAGACACAAAACTACTGCCAAGAGACACAAAACTACTGCCAAGAGACACAACACCACTGCCAAGAGACACAACACCACTGCCAAGAGACACAACACCACTGCCAAGAGACACACAACCACTGCCAAGAGACACAACACCACTGCCAAGAGACACAAAAGAACAACAAAGAGACACAAAACGTCCACTAAATGCCTTAAGACAGAGAGGCTATAGAGAGACTACAGAGAGACTACAGAGAGACTATAGAGAGACTACAGAGAGACTACAGTGAGACTATAGAGAGACTACAGAGAGGCCACAGAGAGACTATAGAGAGACTACAGAGAGACTATAGAGAGACTATAGAGAGACTACAGAGAGACTACATAGAGACTACAGAGAGACTACATAGAGACTACAGAGAGACTACATAGAGACTACAGAGAGACTACAGAGAGACTACATAGAGACTACATAGAGACTACAGAGAGACTACATAGAGACTACATAGAGACTACAGAGAGACTACAGAGAGACTACAGAGAGACTATAGAGAGACTATAGAGAGACTACAGAGAGACTATAGAGAGACTATAGAGAGACTATAGAGAGACTATAGAGAGACTATAGAGAGACTACAGAGAGACTATAGAGAGACTATAGAGAGACTATAGAGAGACTATAGAGAGACTACAGAGAGACTACAGAGAGACTATAGAGAGACTATAGAGAGACCACAGAGAGACTATAGAGAGACTATAGAGAGACTACAGAGAGACTACAGAGAGACTATAGAGAGACTATAGAGAGACCACAGAGAGACCACAGAGAGACTATAGAGAGACTATAGAGAGACTATAGAGAGACCACAGAGAGACTATAGAGAGACCACAGAGAGACTATAGAGAGACTATAGAGAGACCACAGAGAGACCACAGAGAGACTATAGAGAGACCACAGAGAGACTATAGAGAGACTATAGAGAGACTATAGAGAGACTATAGAGAGACCACAGAGAGACCACAGAGAGACTATAGAGAGACCACAGAGAGACTATAGAGAGACTATAGAGAGACTATAGAGAGACTATAGAGAGACCACAGAGAGACTATAGAGAGACCACAGAGAGACTATAGAGAGACTATAGAGAGACCACAGAGAGACCACAGAGAGACTATAGAGAGACCACAGAGAGACTATAGAGAGACTATAGAGAGACTATAGAGAGACTATAGAGAGACCACAGAGAGACCACAGAGAGACTATAGAGAGACCACAGAGAGACTATAGAGAGACTATAGAGAGACCACAGAGAGACTATAGAGAGACCACAGAGAGACTATAGAGAGACTATAGAGAGACTACAGAGAGACTATAGAGAGACTACAGAGAGACTACAGAGAGACTATAGAGAGACTATAGAGAGACTACAGAGAGGCTATAGAGAGACTACAGAGAGACCACAGAGAGACTATAGAGAGGCCACAGAGAGAGATGTTCCTACAAAGAAAGACTACAATGAACTACTAAGAGACAGAAATTAACTACAGACACACAAGTATAAAAAGACCAAAAACAAACACTAAAACAAGACGTATCCACTACGAACAGACTAAAAATGACACAAAGCAACTACAAAGAAATACAGAACGACCACAAAGACACACACACATCAACACAAAGAGGTTAAGCATCTACAACGTGTGTGTGTGTGTGTGTGTGTGTGTGTGTGTGTGTGTGTGTGTGTGTGTTGCTCTGTATGAAAGGTGGTGCCTACTTTTGCATGGCTGTGCCCAGGGGCCCATTGTCTCCTAATAAACCCGTGTGTGTTCATGTGTGTGAGTCTGAGTAGCCTTCCCATGTTTTCATCCGAGTGTGTGTGCACATGTGGCAGAGTATCTGAGGAGGGGTGTGTGTGTGTGTGTGTGTGCGTGTGTGTATTTGGGGGGAGGAAGAGGAGGAGGAGGAGGAGGAAGAGGAGGAGGGAGGAGGGAAGGAGAAAAAAAAATAGGTCACCCCGTAAAACAAAAAGCTTGCAGTCGACATCGCAACCGTCTGTTGCGCTCCCATTGGCCGGTCTGTCTCCATGGTAACAGGTTAACCTTGAGGCAGCATCACATGGGCGAGCGAGTCTTCGGCTGTCTCCGAGAATCCAGCGAGCGACGAGTGACATCCGTGATCACTGTGTCATCTGCACACACACACACACACACACACACACACACAGAGACAAACACACACACACACACAGAGACAAACACACACACACACACACAGAGACAAACACACACACACAGAGACGAACACACACACACACACACAGCGAGAGACAGACAAACACACACGCACACAGAGACACACACACACACAGAGACAGACACACAGAGACAAACACACACACAGACA